CAAAGACGAGGTTAGGCGTCCTCAGTCAGTGTCAGTATGTAGACGGCGACCCCTGCGAGGTGAAGTTTCAGCGTATCACCGCTGACCACGAGGAAGTGACGATTCACCGGAAGGATGATCATGGAGGTGACAGCGACATGCAGAACCTATTAAAGCAGCTACACCTAGGAGGTGCGCCAGAACAACAGGTGGAATTAGGAGAGCTTCTGATGAAGTATGCAGATGTGTTTGCAATTCACGATGAAGATCTCGGATACACTGACAAGGTGAAACATGAAATCCCTGTGGTTGACGAGACGCCAGTTTCACAACCTTACCGGCGCATTCCACCTAATCAGTACAAGGAGGTCAGGGAACATATCTCCGAACTGCTGAGAAAAGGAGTGATCCAAGAAAGTTCAAGCTCCTATGCCTCGCCTATTGTGTTGGTGCGCAAGTCTGATGGAAGTTTAAGACTCTGTGTGGACTACAGGAGGCTGAACCTGAAGACCAGGCGTGATGCATTTCCACTGCCCAGAATTGATGAAACTTTGGACGCCCTGAGTGGCGCAAAGTTCTTCTCGACAATCGACCTCGCCAGCGGATACCATCAGGTTGCTGTACATGAGAAAGATAGGGACAAAACTGCTTTCACTACACCATTCGGGCTCTATGAGTACCTGAGGATGCCTTTTGGGCTCTGTAACGCACCTGCAACCTTTCAACGCCTGATGCAGACCACAATGAGTGATCTGGTGCTACAGATAGTATTGGTCTACTTGGATGACTTGCTTGTATTTTCATCATCATTTCAGGAGCACTTGGTAAGGTTAGAGACAGTCTTCAAGAGGTTGAGAGAGACAGGGCTAAAAGTCAAAATGAAGAAGTGCCATTTTCTCCAGCCTGAAGTCAAGTTTCTTGGTCATCAAGTTTCAGCTGAAGGTATTGGTACAGACCCTGACAAGATAGGTACAGTGAAGAAATGGCCCATCCCCAGTACCGTGAAAGAGCTACGGTCCTTTTTAGGGTTTTGCAGTTACTACAGAAGGTTCATTGAGGGTTTCTCCCAAATTGCAGGGCCCCTTCACGATGTTGTAAATGTTTGCATCAAAGAGAGCAGTGATCCCAGGAAGAATGAGTTGTTCAAGTTAGCCTGGAAGCCACAGTGCCTACAAGCTTTTGAACTCTTAAAAGAGAAGCTGACCAGCGCCCCCACGCTTGGCTACGCAGACTTTGATTCCCCTTTTGTGCTAGAGACAGATGCTAGCATTCAAGGTCTAGGTGCAGTCCTGTACCAGGACCACGGCGGGAAGCGAAAAGTCATCGCTTATGCAAGCCGAAGGCTCAGAGGGGCTGAGAGGAATGACCAAAATTACAGCAGTATGAAGTTGGAACTCCTTGCTCTAAAGTGGGCGGTCACTGAAAAGTTTAGGAGTTATCTTCTAGGATCCAAATTCACCATCATCACCGATAATAACCCTCTGTGTCATCTTTCTACTGCCAATTTAGGGGCTATTCAACAGCGGTGGGTTGGTCAGCTGGCTGTATTCGATTTTGATGTGAAATATCGCCCTGGTAGGTGCAATTCTGCAGCTGATGCACTCTCCCGGAAACCAGCAGCCGATGAGCCAGAACCTGAGAGTGAGGATGCAGAGTATGATGGGTGCGTGGCCATATGCAACTCGCTTAGGACAGGTACAGCTCTGGGCCTTGATTTAGTTGCAGCCGGGATTGAGTATGGTAGGGTCAGGCAGCTACGTGCGTCTGAGGCAAGTGAGATAGCGACAAGGGAGCTAGCTCAGAATAACACACCAACTTTGCCAGGATATTCTAACACAGAACTTCAGACGTTTCAAGCGTCAGACCCGACACTTGGTGTAGTGAGAGAGTGTTGGAGCAGACAGAAGAAGCCTACTTTCCATGAGAGGAAGGGTTTATCTAAGACAGTTCGCTCTTTGCTGAAACAGTGGCCACGGATCAGTGAAAAGGATGGACTCCTGTACCGTGTTATTGAAGATGTCCATGCTGGAAAGATTGAACAGCTTTTGTTGCCTACCTCCCTCAAGGAGCAAGTTCTTAAAAGTGTGCACGACCAGATGGGGCATCAGGGCATTGAACGGACATTGGCTCTGCTGAGACAGCGATGTTTTTGGGTGGGTATGCATGGGGATGTAGAGCAGTGGGTGAAGGGATGTCAGAGGTGTGTGTTGACAAAGATGCCACAGCCAAAGATTCAAGCATCCCAAGTTCCATTCTTGGCTACTCGTCCCCTTGAGGTTGTTGCTATGGACTACACGACGCTGGAACGTGCTACAGACGGCCGGGAGAATGTACTTGTGATGACTGATGTATTCACCAAATTCAGCCAGGCATTTGCTACGCGAGACCAGAAGGCCGATACCACCGCCAAGGTAATTCTGAAGGAATGGTTCATGAAGTATGGGGTGCCCGAGCGTCTACACTCTGACCAGGGAAGAAATTTTGAAAGCGCAGTGATTGGTGAACTGTGCAAGTTGTACGGGGTGAAGAAGACACGAACAACACCTTACCATCCCCAAGGCAACCCACAGTGTGAGAGGTTTAACAGGACCCTGCACGACCTCCTGCGCTCACTTCCCCCCGAGAAGAAGCGACATTGGCCTGAACACCTGTCCGAGCTGGTGTATGCATATAATGTCACCCCACACTCGACTACGGGCTATCCACCATATTTTTTGCTGTTTGGTGTCCTCCCGCACCTTCCCATTGATGCACTGCTAGGCCAAGAACAGGTAGAACACGACCAAACTAACTGGTTAGCTGTACACCAAGAGCGTCTCCAAGATGCATATCAGAGAGCGAGGGAGTGTGCTGAGCGTAAGGCTGCAGAGCGGATAGCTCACCAACAGGGGAAGGTGTACTGCCCACCAGTTGAGGTGGGACAACTTGTCTATCTCCGCCACCGACCACCAGGAAAGAATAAGATCCAGGACTCTTGGGGGCCCACTGTCTACAAAGTCGTGAATATCCAAGGTAGCACGTATGCGGTGGAGACACTGGAGGGAGGACCGGTAAAGAGGGTGCATAGGTCCAACTTGCGACCATGTGTGGCATCTCCACCAGCACAGAGATGTCGCCGTCCGGCAGTGGCTCCGGGGGATGAAGCCACTTCAAGTCCAGAGCCTGAGACTCCTGTCCCCGAGTTTGTAGTGGTGGAGAAAGTGTATTATCCAGGCACTAAAGGTGCGGCAACTCCGGAATGTGATGGCTTGGACCTGTCTGAGAGATTGGAGGGCCACCTGGATAATGTGGCTGATGGTTGGGATCGTGACGCACCTGATCACAATGTGGAGGAGACATCAGGATCCTGTCCTGAACCCATGTCGGAGAAACCCAGTCCACATGCTGAGGATGTGGTGGTGAAGCCGGTGCCTACTCCAGGGAAGGACGGAAATGGTGAAGTTGACATACTCACCCCCCCTCTACGCAGGAGTCAGAGAAGAACGGCCGGGTCACACCAAAACCCATTTAACTTGCCTAGGTCATCTTGCAATACGTTGTCTTTCAGTCCTGATGCACTCTCTGAGCTCTTAGCCGGTATGGTCCTCTATACTTCAAAGCTTCAGGAAAACGTAGATGGGCAGGAAGTCACCAGGGACGTTGACTTGTAGCAGGGGAGAATGTAGCCGGGTGAAGTGGGGGCAGGGAGGTTTTTGGACTGCTAGATGGTCCGCACAGAGGGTGAGGGCGTACTGCCCCTTTAAGTACATGGGCATGAGTTCACGTGGGATTTGGAGCTGCAGAGCGGGACCTAGTGGCTACTAACACGACACAGTGTTAGCGGTTAGCATCGGAACAGCGTTAGGGAAATACCTGTTCAGCGGGTCAGCGTAAGTGTTCTAACATTAATAAACCTGACTCACCATGTAAATTGTGATTGATTGCCTGTACTGAGTGTATGTTCTTGGGTTGTGCACCTCTGCTTCGTTTAGAGGGGAGTAACAAGCTGCTGTGGGTTGAGGTTGCACGTGCATGGAGCCGTGCGCGCCGGCGCTTGAGTGAGTTTGTTTTCGGGACTTTTTGGAGGAACGACAATGGTGTGGGATTTGAACAGCATGAGACCAATGTGCATGTTTTTGTTTCTGTTTAACAGGAAGGGGTCACTACTGTTGTTTTTTTTTGTATGTAACTGTTAGCTTCACGTAATTTCTAGCTTAAGGTAATCGTTAGCTCTATTCCATTACATCCTATTAGTTAGTGAAGCGAAGCAATTGGTTATTTGTACACTGTTCCAAGTGCCTCCTTAATTTGACACATTAAGGCTGTGCTCCAGGAGTGCAGTCGGGGGAAATAAAGAACCCACATTAAAGAGAAATAAATTTATCTTAGTGTCCTGTCATCATTTTAATCAGGCTACATATATAATATCAAAATGATTTAATATTTCCTGTAAATAACCTATTACCACAGTTTTAACGACGCAAATTAGCACTGCAAGTTATCACAGTATGATTCCCCAGAATGAATAAAAAGCGGCACTTTATTCTCACATTTTCCACAAACTGTGATACCTTATTGTAAAATATTTCAACAAGCCGTTTTGATTATTGCTGTTTGTATTTCATTATTTCTGTTCGCCTACATTCTCCACATTCCATCCAGGACTTGTTTTTTTCACACGTAAAAAAAAAAACAAAGCAGGATATTAAAAAAGAAAGTGAAAGAAATAAGACTTTTCTCTGCGTCCCTGTTTGCAAAAGGTAACGCCTTTTCCGTGCCTGTGATGTCAAGTTAAGCTTTCAGTGATTGGTGAACTACAGATGTAAATTCAAAAGTATATCGGTAATCCCCCCGCCCGAAATGCGAACCTCGGGTGTTTTGATCCTTGCGAGATACCGTACTTTACAACCCGGAAGCTACGCTGCTGTCATCTAAACAAACATGTAAGTAACGTTTTTGACAATAAAGAATTTACGTAACCGTTTTTTAACATTACTTACTGTGACGTTTGAGCGAGTGTCGCTATTTTCCCTCGTTCACAGTCAAAGAAACGGCAGTAAAACGTTAAGCAGCGAGTTGGTAAACTAGGTAACGATTAGAAAGCAGGGAAGCTATAAAAGTTAGCAAACCTCCCTGCTGCAGTGCCACATCGTCACAAGCTCTCAGCTGGGCCTCATTCCTTGTTGCCTTTGGTTGAGACGTTAAAAGCCATATTACGAGATAATCTGTCCTGTTTATCGTTGTCTTAACAATTAACGTTAACAATATTAATCACTATGCATTTCATCAAATCGCACTGTAGCTTATTTTCAGCCATTGTATGTCCTGTTGAGGCGTTTAATGAGGTCAAGAATATGTAAACTTAAATGATCAAGATGTAAATGATGTACACCATTTCATCTGGGCGTGAGTAGCTATAAGGTGCATCTGTTTGATTGCCCGACATTTGGATTACACGCTATTTAGTGACTCAACTAACTCTGCTTTTTGAATGGTTCACAGGGGCTGATCTTGGTGAATGTCATCAACGGGCGTAGTCCTCCATACGCAAATACGTGCAAGTCATCAGAAGGTCACTGGAAGAAATTGGCTGTATTTGGTTAAGCGTTTTTGAACGCCGCCATGGCTCCGGGGGAAGACGAAGAGGAGCTGTCAGCAGTCGACGAGCCCAAGGAGGTGGACGTGTTTACATCCGTGCGTTGCCTGGGTTACCTGTCCAGTGTCAACCTCCTTGTGGCGGTATGCGTTGGCATGTACGTGCGCTGGGAGGTGACGAGCGAACCAATGATTCTGGTCATCTTCATCCTCGGCCTCTTCGTCCTGGGGATTGCCTGCATCCTTCATTACTACTTCGCTATGGAGAAAGCCAGCCTCAGCTTGTTCCATCTGTGGTTTGGCTTCTTGCTCGGCCTTCTCTGCTTCCTCAACAGCTCCAGCTTGAATTTGAACGTCAAGGAACTGGTGGCCAACTATCTCCTGTTGGCCAGCGCGATCATGAAAACAATGTGGGCTCTAACCGAGCGAATATGCAGCTCCGTCCGTTACAAACCCACCTTGCTCACGTCAACTGAGCTACTCGAGCTCCTGGGATTTGGCATTGCCAGCACCGCCATGCTTCTCCACAACTCGGTAGCCATCATAGGTTTGGTTGTGGCCCTGGGGGCTCTCATCGTGGACCTGAGGATGAAATCCCTCCTGGCTTTGCCGAACCTGGTCAGTTTCGCCTTGGTCACGTCTCTCGTTTTCTTCCAGGCCTTGGGCATCACGGCCAACCCGTACGCTTTAGGCTGCTACCTGGGCAGGCTACTGTGTGAGCCTGTGTTGGACATGTACTTCAGTGTGCTGGGGCCCACGGAGCGCTGGGTACCAGTGCTCTCCCTCGGGAGGATCTGGAGGAGGCTGTCCCTGCTGCCGCTGAGTCTGACTGAGCTCGCCTTCTTCGTCCTGGCTGCCTTAAAGGTACACTCGGACTTTGGCAAAAAATGATATTTCCACGATGTGATTGTGTAGAGCTTTCGTGGGACGCAATCATTTTGTTCAATTTTTAATCAGTCATGCTTTAGTATTTGAGTGATTTGTGTTTTTGCATTTGTCAGTTTGAAGTGTTTCACACTTTTGTCTCCCTTTTAGCTCGGCCACTTGGAGCTCTGGTATCTGGTGATTCCAGGCTTCTGTTTGTTTGGCCTTTTCTGGTTCATCTGCCACACCATTCTGCTGATGACAATTTGGGGCTTCCACACAAAGTTGAGCGAGTGTCAGAAGGCCTGGCAGGCTCAGCGGTCCAGAAGCCGGAGTCTCAATCAAGTCATGGCCTCCAGGGGCATCCGCCACTTCTGCCTCATTTCAGAGCGGCTGGTGTTCTTTACTTTGCTGTCGACAGTCATACTGGGAGCCGTGTCCTGGCAGGTAGGAGACACAAGGGAAAATACTTCTAATTTAACTCCTGAACATGAATAGTACAATAGTTACAGGAAAGTGTGTAAAGCATCTAAAGATACAACAGAAATCTATTTTGGTCACCGCTCTACTCTTGTTTTTATGCCTCATTCTAAAAAAAAACTTTTCATAGAACAACTCATAGATCATGGTTAGGGTCCTGTTTTCTTTCTCTCCCAGCCATAGCACTCTAATGAGTTTCATGACAACATCTCTATAAACATATAATTTACCCCATGTTATAAAGAGAGATGCTGGCAGCACTGTGTGGTTAGTAGATGCTCCCCAAGCTGAGGCACTTCTGCTCTCATGCAGAACCAATTTAATTAGCACTTTAATATCCCTATCTACTTGAATAAAGAGCAGCAATAACATATTTAGCCTTATTAGACGTTTACCTTGTCAGTGTCTCAGGGGTCCGAGTCCTAATTTGAAATCTGCTCATAGTTGATGTCTGTTGCAAATTTGTAAGTAAGTTTGCTGTCTGCACTCGTATAGGAGTTTGTGCTTAGCTCTTGTGCTCATGTGTTTTTTTGGATGTTTGGAATTCCTTCCTTTTTATTTTTATTAACTATTTTTCTTTCTTTGTTTTCAATGCCATAGGCAAGATGTTGGAGGATGTAGTATTTTGCATTTGAGAAGTAAACAATGTCATAAAGGTTTAATGAATGAATTAAATTCCTCACTTAGAACTCACTAGTTCCATCTAATGAAGGTATTGATTGGTTTTCAATGCCCTGCTATGAAATCGTACACTGCATCTGGCCTTCATTTAGTTAGTTAGGTCCTGTCAGGTTTTGTCCTGCTGTTGTAACCGTGTCTGTCCCGTATGTTCTAACGGCCTTGCAAAGTGTCACCACCAATTAGCTGCGTCTGGTCGCTTTGGTACGAGCTGTAAGTGTTGAACGAAAGTGACTCCGGTTCTTTTTGCTTCCTGCAGTCCTCCAACGGCCTGTTTCTCTGCGCTCTGCTTGTGGTGCTGCCTCTGGAGTCTCTGACCCACGGCTTGTTCCACGAGCTGGGCAGCTGCCTGGGGGGAACCTGTGTTGGCTACGCCCTGGTCATACCCACTGCCTACTGCAGGTACTGAGGAGGGACGTGAAAAGGGGAATATGGAGATGCACGCAGACTTACACAGACTTTAGCTTAAATCCGCAAGATCATGAAGTTCTTGTAATTGTTTTGTTAATTTATCTACTTTTTTGGCTTCTATATCTATACAGTTCATTATTATGTCGGTAAAGACAAATCATCACCAAATTGCTTCAATGATAAATCAATTATCAAAATAACTGTAGGCCTTTGTTTCTCTCTTCCCTACTGATTCATTGTTTCGTAAGATTTGACTTTTAGGTCTCCATCACAAGTGCATGTACTCATACTGTAGTTGCAGCTCAAAATAACACAAACGGACTACAGCAGCAGCAATGCGCACCCATTTACACATATACATTTGCCCCGTGTCAAAGCCTTTTCTTGGCATCACAGCCACGGGTTAAATATGACCGCTCACTCCAACTCCCTCCTCGGTTAACACAAAACCAACTGGATAAATAGGCCAATAAATATGCATAAACATGCTGCTAATGCTGCGGCCCTTAAGGGATCATCCCTGTGCTCCGTCCGCTGCATACCAAGTCGTTCAGCTGGAGCCGTTAGCTGCCTCTCCCAGCGCACTTTCAGTTAGCCAGGTTTTTTTTTCTTTTCCTTCCTTTCACGATGCCGACACATCATCTCCTCCTCCTCCTCCTCCTCCTCCTCCTGAGCAGCCAGAGCTAGCCATCACTTTTATCAGGAGTCAAGAATCTTTATTATCAAGATATGTCTGACACACAAGGAATTTGACTTGGCGGTTGGTGCATAACATCAGACAATAAGACAATGAACAACAAGGCCGAGTGCAACATGCAAGAACAACATAGTGCAAGTAAAAGTTGATAATAAAAAGTTAAAAATAAGTGAAAGTGACAGGTGTATGTGCATAGGGAGTGACCGGTGGAGAGGGATGTCCCACTTGAGGTCCTGGGTGATGATGCAGCCCATAAAACGAAAGGAGTCCACAGTGGTGACGGGGGGAGTCACACAGTATGATGCGGGAGGGTGGTGCGTTCTTCCTGAAGTCCACAACCATCTCCACTGTCTTTAGAGCGTTGAGCTCCAGCTTGTGGCTGCACCACGTCACCAGATGGTCAGACTCCCACCTGTAGGCGGACTCATCCCCACCGGAGATCAGTCCAATGAGGGTGGTGTCATCCGCAAACTTCAGGAGCTTGACGAACTGGTGACTGGAGGTGCAGCTGTTGGTGTCCAGGGAGAAGAGCAGAGGGGAAAGAATGCAGCCTTCCCGGGGGGGGACCGGTGCTGATGGTCCGAGAGGCTGATGTTTCCCCACCTTCACAAAGTCAGTGATCCACTTGCAGGTGGAGTCGGGCACGTGCAGCTGAGAGAGTTTGTCCTGCAGCAGAGAGGGGATGATGGTGTTGAAAGAGTCCACAGGATCCTGGCGTAGGTTCCTGGGGAATCTAGACTCTGGAGGATGAAGTGGAGGGCCGTGTTAAACGAGTGTTTCCATCTTTGCCTTTTGGCGATTTTGGGCTGGTGTGTTCTTGTATGCCGACTTTCTGGAAACCAACCTTTTTAGCGGATGCATGGCTCGAGCACTTGGAGAGGACGCCAGCCAGGGGGTTTAACTCTCCAGGTGATTTTTGGCTGCTGGCCCTTGTCCTACCGGAGCTCCAGACTCTGTGTGTGCACGTCCCACGCCGAGATGATGAGAATGCAGCCGTGAATAATGGGCTGTTTGACGGCTGCAGATCATGTTTTCACGACGACAGGAGCCCCACAGGGAGATTAGAGGGATGATAAGGGTGCGGAGGGGAGGTGCGCGCTGGCTAACAAGAGCGAAGGAGGGGGGGGTGGCGACAAACTGCGAGGAGGAGTGGTTGTTAAAAAAACGAAAAGGGACAGACGGAGCTTAGGAAGGGGGAGGGGGGGGGTGACGAGGTGTTGAGCTCTGAGAGAGCTGTGGCTAAAACGGACACGATGAAAGAGAGAGTGTAACGAGGGGGAAGATGTGGTTTGAATTCTCAAACTACAAGCCTTCGCTCCCCTGGGTGCTTTGAGATGTGAAAAGTTGGGATTTAGGTGAGCGGGGAGCTCGGCGAAGTTTGCGGCGTGACTCATCGTGGTCATCTTATTTTGGCAGACGCGTAAACAAGGGAGAGCGGGCACAACACGAGGAGTGTCCGCATTTAGACGAAGACTTGACTTCCACCTCGTCCTTTGTGAAGGTGAGGTGGAAGGTGAGGACGGGGCCCCCGGAGCAGGATGCGATGGCAGAGTTATGCAGATGTCTGCGGGAGTGAGGAATGACTTCGCCATCCGCCGGGCCATGAATAACATCAAGTCTAGTGATGGAAAGCGAATGCATGGCTGCACTGAGAAGATGCTGGCCTTGACGTGTGTGTTTTATCATCCACTTGTTATTATCAGTGACACGCGGTTTTATTAAAAATCCCTTCTCCATCAACTATCTTTAACCTCAGTTCCCATTCTTATTTCCTGTCACCCTGCTCAATTCTTCTCCACCCTTTCTTGGTTCTTTTGTGTCATTTCCTTACTTCCTTTCCATTCTTGAAATCCTTTTACTTCCCTGAGGCTAATGTCATATTCTTCAGCAGTGATCCTCCCCTTCCATCTCCTCTCATCCTCCCCCACCCGCTGATGCAGACGGCTACTCCTCCGCTCCTCTCTGTGTGTCAAACCATCAACTTCTCACTCATGCTTTTCATGACTCCTCTTCTTGTGCCCCCATCTGTCGCTTTTCTTGACGAGCCACCTAACTCGAGTCTCTCCGAGAAGAGGAAAAAAAAGTGTGTCTTACATGCTCTCGTCTCTCTCTCTCTCTCTCTCTCTCCCTCTCTCTCTCTCCCATCCAGCGCCGACGGCCAGCCCACTCTCCTTCCACCCGAGCAAGTGCAGCAGTTGAACACGCGCTCCACGGGGATGCTGAACAACGTGCAGCGCCTCTTCTCCCACCACATGATCCAGACGTTTGGCTGCGACTACTCCACCAGCGGCGTTACTCTGGAGGCCCTGCAGACCAAGCTCCGCGGCTTCCTGGAGCTTCGCACAGAAGACGGGCCCCGCCATGACACCTATCTGGTTTTCTACAGTGGGCACACACACAAAGGCACTGGTGCTTGGGCTCTGGCTGGTAAGAGCACGCATATCGTCTTTTTGGTTTACCTTCTTGGCCAAATAATCGGTCACCACAGTTGAACCCCACACGCGCTCGGACTTGCTCGTTGGATTTCTTAGGGATGCAATCTTGATACTTCCGTGTCCGTGCTTCTTCACGCTTATTTCAGTTGACGCTGATGTTTTTGGTTTGTGCTTACCCTTTCAGCCGAGGCAACGCAATATTAATTATGTAGCATATTTCCGCCCAGGAACACGCAATGTGCCTGACATTTTAAAGTGCATTCAGCAACAAGTAAGATGAAATCATAATGAATAACATATATGAACACACCTTGCAAAATCCCCCGACCTTCTACCCTTCCATAGTATATTTCCACCAGCAGAGGTAAACCCTTATTTCAGAAATTGAATGTAGAATATTTGATTTGGAAGAATGTAAATCACAATTGGATTTGAAAAAATAGTCACGCACAAAAGCCAACATGGCAAATTCCAAATAACAATGGCGGTTGTTGGTAATCACAAATGTCCTGCAGTGGAAGAATACTGAGATGTGCACAAGCAGGTGGGCGGAGTCCTCGACAGCAACATCCACTGTCTTTGTTTCTGAGCATTTGATTTATTGCTTGCTGCTGCGTTGAATCATAATTTCAGCAAATGCATCCAATCTTTTTTACCAATGTTACCAACCCTCATTTTAATTCACTTAGAAGACGAGCACAGTCCCTTTGACCTTCACGTCATTTGCTGTTATCTTGTTTTTTTGCTTCTTACAAATAAACATTAATTAATAAAGACTTTACTCCGAGTTGAGCACAACAAAAGAAATAAAGGGAAAAGCAGCATTTGCTGCAAAGCCGTCGCGTCGGGAGCAGTAGATCTGGTACTCAATTTTCATTACGGTCTAATTTCCATTCTTTTCATTTCCCCCTCCTCCCTGTTAATCAGACTCCCAACAGGCAGAGATCAAAGTAGGCCAAAAGAGTTGAAAAATTGCTGTGCCGGACAGCGGTTTGGTTCCGGTAGAGAGAGATCTGTGGCGGGTTCAGGCGCTTTTCGCTGTGACATTCCTTCACTAGAAATGAGAATCGCAGCAGGTTAACGCCGGGTCAGCGCCAGCACTTCTGTTCCGAGATTACTTGACACATTGTCTCTGCGTGTGGCTGCAAACAAGAGAAAGACAAAAGGAACAAAAAAATCCCCATCGAAAAGATAATCACTTTCCTCTGTCACCGTCATCTGTGGACTTCTTTGAGCCGGCGTCAAGCAGATATTTGTGCACTTTTTGAGTGGGCATGGTTTGCAGAAATTGAGAAATTGGGTGAATAAAGTAACAACCATTTTGATATACAAATCCCAGGGATACTAACTTGCTCTCCCTATCTAACCCCCTCCTGCAGGAGGTGAGAGCCTCCACCTGGCCCAGTTGCTGGACATGTGGCAGGAGAAGAACGCGGGCCACTTCTCCCGTCTCATCCTCGTCCTGGACACGGAGAACTCCCTGCCCTGGGTGAAGGCGATCCGCAAGGCGGAGGGCGTCTATGTGGCCGTGCAGGGGGCCGAGCTGTCCCTCCCCAGGGCGGACCCGGAGCCCGGGGACACCCCGCTCCTCGGGGACTTCACCGCCGAATGGGTGGAGTTCAACTGCAACCCGGACAGCGACACCCAGTGGTCGGAAAGGGGAAGGGCCGTGGCGGCGGCGTACGGCGTGTCCAAGCGCTGGAGCGACTACACGCTCCACCTGCCCACCGGCAGCGACGTGGCCAAGCACTGGAAGACCCACTTTCCCAAGGCCACATATCCCATGGTGCACCTCTCCAACTGGTGCTGTGGCCTCAACCTGTTCTGGTTGTGCAGCGTGTGCCTGCGCTGCTTCAGGAGGTGTAAGCTAGCCTGGTTCCCGCCAGCTGTGCTGGACACGGGGCAGGGCATTAAGCTGGTGCACTCTTAGATGGTGACCGCTATTGACATTTGGATGCCGGTACTTTTTTGTTTTTTCTTCAAACAGCTGGGTCGAGGTGTTTTATTGAAAGGAAAAGCGGTTCTTGTATACCTATAATACACAAACGTGCACACAGGTTTTGTCACAAAGTACAATATGGCCTTCTGTCAGGAAGGTTGTTAAACTTCTTCCAAATAAATCATAAGGCAAAATTGGATTTGCTGTAATGCAGAGATGTTGTGCTGGTAATTTAGTATCAAGGTCTTCTACGCTCAATATTATTTTGTCATCCAACATGAGGGAGGGAAGTATGCTTTTTACATTTAGAGATATCTCATGGTCAAAGGAACTGTATTAACTGCGTAGCTATTTCTTGATATGTGATGAGGTAAATTACCCATTTTTTTTCTATGACTTTATTACAAACTGATTATCTCTTTTGTTACAAAGTGTAATGCTTTTCAACATCATAAGTGTCTTGAAAATGGCTTCTGCGGGGATTCTTTTTATATGGCAGCCTTATTTTTTACATGTAAATGCCTCTTGGGGATTTGATAGACTTACAATTTGTGAGTGGGGAGGGACTCTGTGGTGTCGCACAGCTGGGACGGATAAACTATGGCTGACCTCCGTGACCTTTAGGCTCCAGGACCGTATAGCCAACTCTGCACTCTTGCTGCAAATTGCACGATATGCATTTATTCCTGATTCGACTTGAGGCCTGTAGTGCCCCCCCACCCTCATCCTGTTGATTTAACACAAAAAGGATTTCAAGTTGAAGAAGTAATTTGCGCTTTACAAACGCAGCACATTCAAGAACTCTACGGCTGTCGCCCTTGACTTGTTATGTAAAACAACAATTCAAGCGCTTCCAATGCTTTTTCTATTGGTGCACTGACCTTAAAAACTCCTGGTGACTCTTATTTTCTACTTAATTTGCTGGAATTGGATCTCTCTCCTACACAACCTTAAACGCTGGAGTGGATTGGTCCTTTATTGGCTTCGAGTGGGATTTTCCACATGTTTAATCCCCATCGTGCCTCACTTGAGTTATGCCTGACAATGTCCAAATTAAACTCAAACAATAAACTGATTAAACACTGCAGCCCGATTTACTTGTCCCTGAGATGTGGTGAGGGAATCGAATACATTTGAGTTTAATTACGAGGAAATAATAGAGGAGGAAAAACGAGAAAAGTAAGACATGGAGGTCGACTGCAAGCCAGGCTCATTGAACATGGCCGGCTTTGCAGACGCTGAACAAATGCAGATTCTGCTCTGTGGAAACGCTACGGCTGCCCCGCAAATATTAGGATTGTGAGCTAAAGGAAAAATGAGAGCGTAAGGGGAAGATGAAACGATCCGTGACTGAGGTTTCACCTCGGCTCCTCCTGGATGGACGTGTTGTCCGAGGCCGCTGCTGGGTATTTCACCGCTATCAGAAAGCGGTGGCCGTGACTTTGGAGAGAGAGTTTGGAGAGAAGTTAGGAAGACGTAAGCGTCACACCACGTCTTTTGTCTGAGAAACGCCAACAGGGAGAGCGCGAGGCAAGGATTCCCTTCCCGCCGCTCTCATCCGGCTGCGCTCAGGCGCTGTAAATATTAAACCATTAGGGAAGTTTAGAGCCGTAAAGATGAGCATTCACAGTGGCAATTAGTGAAAAAGAGACGGGTATAAAGGCCGTCTTGTGTGGGCGTTCTTCTCGTTGCTGTAGCCCGCGAGCTGCGGCTATGGCTAAAGTCAGGGATTCGTGTATATAGCGGGGAAATTAAATTAGTCGGATTCATTTTCTAAACTGTAGATAATAAAAGGGTCAGCCGCCTCTGAGGAAGTTGTGCTGAGTCAGAGCACACACATTTACTGAGAGAACGTACGTGCACAGATTTGACCTCCTGCTTTTATTATTTCACTGTTTCTCTATAGGAGAGTCTCACGTCTGTCACTGGATAATATTTGGCGAAATAACTGCTTTTATAGCAGCGCGCGTCTGCTTTTATAGTCAAATGCTATTTTGTTTATAATCCAGTTGTTTGGTGTTCAACCATGATCTCTTCATTGTTATAAAGGGTTCCTGCAGAGAAGAGCTAAACCGATTTTCAAAGCTTAAATGAGTAGAGTCCATTTTTTAAACCTAAGCATCCTTTTAAAAGTTCAATTCTAGAAGTTTCACATCCTCTTAAATGTAAATGTACCAGATCCGGATATGTACATAAATGCTGAACGTCCCCTTTTCCCTCCCCATCCTGGGACAGAATGAGTAATGGGATGAGAGATTACGGATTGACCAGCATCCCCGTTTCAACTTCTGCGCTCTGCTTTTTCAGGAGGCCCAGTCGCTGCGGCTCACAGTGGGTCGACATTGAAATGTCAAAGCCATTATCTCAAATTACGAGGTCTGAGGATGCGTTTAGCGGCCGTTTAACCATCCAAAGCTCTCTAGTATGCAAGACGTTCATTCGGAAGAGGCTGCCAAAATCGCCATGTTCGCGGGTTTATTTTTGACATAGCACTTTCTGTGAAACCCATATGGCATTTTCGTTTCACATAGTTTGCATGAGACACTACATTGTTTGGCAGAAACCCTGCATATGATTAACATAAGGGCTGTCACTATATCAGGTTTTCACAACAGGATTATCTTGGAAAATAATTCAGGAAAACCATGTTGTCTCAATGGAAACATATTTGCACACTGCTATCACTAAAAATTATATATTTTGTTTCTCCTTTTAGATGAGTTACACTAAAAAAACTCCGACCAACGTCTGTATTAATTAAAATGATTAAAGTGATGAATTATTTACACAATAATATGTTTTCTGGTGTGTAATATTGTGGTCATCGTCAGTGCTCATATATCACCACGCCCCTAAATAACCTTCCTCCAGTTTAGCTCAACAGCAACACATTGTCATTTTAATTCAATTCAATTCATTTTATTTTGTATAGCCCATAATCGCAAATTACAAATTTGCCTCAGAGGGCTTTACAGTCTGTACACATACAACATCCTCTGCCCCGAAACCCACCATCGGCACAGGAAAAACTCCCCAAAAAATGAAAAAACCCTTCCAAGAGGGAAAAAAGGGAAGAAACCTTAGGGAGAACGTCAGAGGAGGGATCCCACTCCCGGGATGGACAGACTACAATGGATGCCATGTGTACAGAATGAACAATGTATAATACATGCAATTCCTATGACAGAAATGATTCAAGTAATTGTGAGTAGTAAGCCAGGTGCACAGCAGGACCACTGCAGGGGCAACCACCATCACATAGAACTACCATCCACAGAAGACTGTGGGGAGGGAGAGCACAGAGACTTTAGGAGAGGGTAATGTTGGTTTACGAGTACAGTAATATGATTAATATCTAAAATAATAATGATGATGATGATGATGATAATGATGGCAGCAGCAGGCGTCAGCATGGCCACGGTAGGTGTCAGGACCAGGGTCCCGAAGGAACCACGATCTACGGAGACCTGATAGGGGAGAAAGCACAAAAAAAACTCCCGGAAAGAAGCTGAATTAGTCATGTGCATTAATAAAACTTGAATTATGGTAGAACGAGAGCGTGAGAGAGGAGCTCGGTGTGTCCTAAGAATTCCCCCGGCATTTTAGTATTTCAGTTTTTGTGTTTGATTTAAACGAACAAGAAATAAACTGATCAATGAGCTGTTAGTGCTGTTTAGCAGATTTTGTTACTTTTGGACAGGAAAAAAGTTTGTTTCTAATTTGTGCTGACTAACAGCTGCTTTCTCTGCAACATAATTGCAATACTGAGAAGAAGTCTGTGCGGTAAATAGATAACTATAGCTCTCGGCAAAAAGAGAATCATTTCCGTGGAAACTGGTTCTGCAACGCGAGAGCATGGTCCGTCTTTTCTAGCAGGGATTGAGCATTACTTTGACTGGGAGCCAAACGTTTTAATACTCTCAACATTTACTGTGGTGATGAACTAGAATGCACAGACGTTCTAATTTCGAGGCAGAGACTTGAAGCGATTATTCCCGGTACAAGGACAGAAGCCACTCAGGGCGAGGGCTTACGAGGCGACGCAGAGAGACGGAGGGAGGGGCAGACCTTGGAGCTTCAGCACATCGAACAATCGCCTTGTGAAGTGACCGTCAACGTTACGGCAGGAAAAAGGGAATTGAGTGTGTTATGTGCAGCGTGAGTGGACATCTGTGCCGCTTTGTCCTATTGTGGATCTAGTGGCTAATTCGGAGCAATGCGGCGAACACCGGCATCTGAATGGCAACAGATAGAGATGTATATGAAGTCATGCACCATGGCATCCGATCTCATGCTAATAGGTGGGAATAGGGCCTCCTGCAGTCGTGTCAGCAGCATGGACTGGTCACCTTGAAACACGTCCTTAATCAAACCAAACTGTTCTGGATATTGGCTCTTGTAAGCAGCCAAATGTACTTAGTATGAGCCAGATGATGCCGATACGCTTGATTTAATTAAAAGTGTAAATTGGAGGCTAACAAGACTGTCAGCACAGTGGGATCGGAGGTTCGGTAATTAACTTTGTTGTCACAGTCTGCTTGAGACGGGACGGGGCCGGGCTAAACTGGTCTAGTGAAACAGATGAGCTCCCTTTTCCGTTTTGCACACGTACAGTATTTGTAGTCAGCCACAGGAGGCTTCTCCTGCTCACATGAAATATAGTTTTACGTCACTGCCAAGTGACATAAAACGTTGGATTCGCATGGGAGAGATTTGTCAGCAATGATAAGAGGTTAAATACTTGAATGTGGTGCCAGGGCTTTTTATGTTATTTATTCTTTGTCGTATACAAAGGAATTTGTAGGGAAATACACTTGTTGGGCTGATATATGAGGATATCTCATATATTTTGATGGCTCATATATCTCATGTCTGTTCAGTAAATATGAAGCTCGAGACTGTGGCTGTTTACCGTGGTTTGGCATAATGAGCGGAAACAGTTTCTGCTCATGCACTGATCAAGCAAACAAGGTGAGCCAGACTAGTTTTTTGAGCTTTAGTGAGCTTTTAGTGGGTTCTCCGAGGCAGATTTGTTTTCCAGAATAGTGGTATACCAGCCCTGCAGAAGAAGGTACACTACCGACCTGCATTGTGTGGTGGACATAGGTGATTTGTGTTGGACTGGACGGGAGAAATGTGCAGGGTTTCAAGGCCATTATGAAAGCCTTAATTAATCCGAATTTGAAGCCGGACCAAAACCTGGCCCGTCTCCCTGCGTCGTCTCTCTATCGACCCCTATCCCGCCTTCAGATTCCCTCTTCAGCAAATGCACTGCTGATGCATGACTCACCCCAAGCCTCCAAACCGCAAGTAAGTGGGTTATGGAGCCGCACTGGGGGGAGGGGGGGGGGTCTCTTCTCTCAACCATGACATAACATCACACTCAGGCACTAACTGGAGACCTACCTGTTTACTGTAACAAGCAGTCAGCTGGCTTTCAGTGTAGCCCAGGCATCCAGAAAGGTTGGGCTGAAGGGGGATTAAGAGATGGCTGCTTCACGAGACGGTAGATTTACAAGAGGTCTTTTGTTCTGCTGCATGTTTATCAGCAGGTTGTGTTTACCTCTGCACTTCTTGTTTTGTACAGGTGCATGTGTGAGTGTGTTTTTTTGCACTTCATATCCATTTAGCGCAAAAGACATTCCTAATTTATACCATGACCTTTCCCCAAAGGCAGAGAACATTTTAAAGAGGATTCAAATGGAATTAGTTCTTTGCATTTAAGGGATTCCTTCTGTGGAAAGAGACAAAGCCAAATCAGTACAAAAATGGTAAATATTACTTTGGCCAAGGGTTCATTTTTCGTGTCCTCGTGTGTGAGTGTATGCGCACATGAGAGTATGAAAAGAGATTTTCTCTGTGTGTGTACTGTCAGCAGAACCACAGGAGGCCCAGCAGTTTCTTGTTTGATTGTAGCCACACAGCTGGCTCTCGATGTTAGCCAGCCAGGCTCCTAGCAACGTGAAGAATCTCACACACACACACACACACACACACACAGATGGGGGAAACATCTTTTTAAACAAAATTCAAGGATGGCCCGACGATGAAACAAAGACAACTTTACGGTTCCAGCTTTTACTCTAT